TGGGATATCCAGGGTGATCCAGTGTATGTGAACAGTGAGATGTTTGGGCGCTGAAGTCGCCATAGCCATTTGAGAGTGAATTCGTATCTGAAGCCATATCTCTGAGTTTTGAGTGGGCGCATGTCGCCAGTGTGCTGTGTTACTGTTTACATGTGTGAAAAGTGTGTTTGAAAACGAGTCTGATTGCAGTAGGGAAGTGCTAGTGTTGCATTCCTCCTCTCCCACCCACCCCTTCTATGCTGCTGTGTTCTCTCATTTCTTCCCCCCAGCCTACCCTCTTCTTCTTTCCCGACGACATTGGTACGTTGCCACGTCAGTAGCGACACATCAGCCGACAGCCGTGCCACATCAGCAGAAGATCAGTGCCATGTTAGCAGCTGCTGGTGCAACATCAGCCCCTGCCACTTGTTCCTGTGGTGTATGCCACCAGTCACCCGCTCGAAGACGGTCGACATGGAGTAGAAGCAAAGGGGAAATTGATGAGGCCTATGAGGCCCGTGTATTGGACCAACTAGCTGAAGGGAAGAAGCGGGCGGACGCAGCCACAACCACACAGAAGAAGAGGGAGGAGGAGGCAGAAGAACAGCGTCGCCTCGCTGAGCAGCAGCCATTGGAGGACGAAGACGCAGCAAAGAAGACTGCCGACCAACAACATAGATCACACCGAGACACACTATTTGAAAACGAGGGGGAGCTCGAGGCACTAGCCAGCGAATGGGCGGTGGCTGCCAGAGAGGACGATGGCTCTGACGAGGTGTGCGGCATGGCAACCACATTCGGACATGTGACCGTTTTGTCGCCACATGCACAGCTCAGCAGGAGCCATCCGCTGCGTAGACACGCTGGTCAAACAGCAGGCTCAGCTCACTGCCCATCTGCTTGACCTCGTTCGCAGGCTGGAACAGCAGCCTGCAGCAGGCACACCCGCTGGATCCTCCAACTAGGGCGATCGCATCAACATGCTGGAGCATGACGTAGGTATTTTAAAGGACGGCGCTCAGCGACAACAGGCAACAAAATCGGCAGTGTGAACAGCAGATTTGTTCAGCAGCCGCCGGACCTACCTCGTCACCTCCCGAGCGCATACCGAAGTTCGATGGCCTTCCGATCTTCTGCATTGCCACGAAGACCGAGCCTATTCCTTGGTGGCGCCAATTTGAACTAGTACTGGACATCCACAAAATCCGCGACGCCAGCCATATAGGGGGGCACGTGCCAAGCATGGCTGGACAATATGCCGTCCACGCACATGGTCGAAGTCTCTGAGCTGCACTTGAAGATCAGCTGAGCTGATCTCAGGGCAGCATGGCACAAGCAGTTCCAAGTGGAGAAACTCCAAAACTTCCATCAGAACAACCTGCCAAGCGCGGACTAGATTACCGAGTGTATTTATACTTGCAGAGTATTTATCATTCATTCTTATCAAAATGAATTTACTGAAAACTTGGCTTTTGATCTTTTTTTGGGAAGAACAAAGCCAAAAATAACAAGTCAAATTCTTTAATTATTCCAATTCACTCTAATTCAACTCTATGTAATTATATGGTTTAATTTTATATTTGCAAGGAACATGAATATGGACGAAGCACAGAAACCCAGATTGCAAAATCACACTGAAGTCCAAGTAGTCAAAGCAAGAGTAGATAGCACAATGGAACCGAGTAACCATCCATTTGAGAATGATACAGAAGAATCGTGAGTCAATGTCCAAGCCCAACAGGGCAACACCAACAGCATAACTCAATGTAGCTCTCTCTCTTGAATGGCGCCAGGCGCCCTACCTACTCCACAGCCTATCTCTGCAACTACAGCTATGAAGCAACCAGACAACTTGACGACCAGCGAGTGATGACGTCAACACCAATGCCGACCTCCACCTCCACCAGGTTTGTCTCCTCCTTCACCCACACTCTCCCTTGTTATCCCACACAGCGCCCTTCACCTCCGAAGAACCACCTTCGCCCTTCACCCCTCTGCGCACACAGGCAGCCCGGCTATGGCCGCCAGCGCCCTGCGCCCACAGGCAGCGCCCTACCGCCTAGCGCTGTCCTGCTCCCCTCAGCCTTAGCGCAGCGCAGCATGCATGCAACGCAGCAGCGTGCCGGCCTTGCTCGCAATGGCCAAGATCCCTGCCCACTCGCCCTGCTTGCCTATATGCCACTGTTGCGTGTGGGCGGCCTCCCTTCAGCCTGCGTCTGGGCCCCAATACCTGAGCCCAGGCCCGATGCAGTTGAGGCCCAGGAGATGCAGTTGTGCCTCTTTCATCAAGAGGCAAGCAAGCGGCCAGATTCAGATAGTGGGCCATTTTCGGCCTCTACATCCAGCATGCATTGTCGGCCTCACGTTTATGTGCCCAGGGCCTAACCAACTCAGGGGCCCTGGGATTTCCGCATTTGCAGAGATCTGAGACTCAGTGCACTCCAACCAAGTGGCGTGCTGCAACTGTATGGACCCCACTTCGTGAAATGTTTGCACAGAGGGCTCTTGTTGATTTGCTGGCCCGCCTTCACTTAGGGCAGGCACTAGGCTTGCTGGGGCCTTAGCCCAGAACATGGACATCATGGCAAGCCCCTTCTTGAGGGCTCAATCCTCACATATTCTTTACTTATTTCTTTATTATATGAAGATTATTATATAAAAGATATGACTATTTTAGAATATTATTAGAATACTATAGATATGCCTATTTTAGTAATACGTACCAACACTTGGTGTCCACGCCCGACTTGCCGCTCACCTTTTTGGGCATCAAGCACTTCTTCATCACAAGGTCGTACCCGACATTGCAAAACACATCGTCGCGAGTTGCGGAGACACTCACCACAAGTGAGCTATAATTTGATAAGGCCTTGCGGATTATTCTGACGAATGCGGAAGCCAAGAACATTGGCCGTTCCTCTTCAGTAGGCTAGGGAAGATATCAGCATCGACCGAAAGTGGTCGTGGTCGTGGCAACAACTCCGACGGACCCTTGTAACGAGGCTGTTTCTTCTGACGAGGGAGACAAATTCGCAGCCACCCGAGACGGTGGCCGTCCCACAAAAGGGCAAGGACGCGGCACATCGAAGACGCACACCACTTCATTCCCCACGGACGGACCAGAAGCTCAAAACCCTGGGACACATTATGGTCTTTCGTATACAGGATCCATACGAAAACCAATATTGCTTGTGGTGCAACAGCGACCTCCATGAGACAATCGGCTGTCCCACAAAGGACAAGGGGAAGTCCCATTTGGGGAAGTGAGGACCGCCGAGAGTGATGCTGCTCCACTCTTGACGCCTTCGGAACTGGTTGCTGCGTGAGCAACCTCCCTTCGTTCCGAGGCAGATGCGAGTTCAACATAGAGATCTTAGACCCGTTGACGTCCGATGATTTCGCATGGCTTCCTCCCCCTTCCACAGGCTGCTAACCGGGACCTCAATGCGAAGCACTATGCACCCAAATCCACACAAACTTCGCTGACAGATGACAAAGTTGCAGTGGTATGACGACAACAACCCACCGCTCCTTTCTATCCGCAATGCGCAGCACTATGCACCCAAATCCACACATACTTAGCCTTCTATGCACCACCAACTTCGCTGACAGATGACAAAGCTGCAGTGGTACGACGACAACAACGCACCGCTCCTTTATATCCGCATCCAAGTTGGGCAAGCGCCCTGCAGTGCTTTGCTGGATAGCGGCGCGACTAGCAATTTCATGAGCCAGTCGTTTATCCAAAGGGTCGGCTTTGACGCACAAGTTCGAAGAAAGATGGCGGACGGTCGGACGCAACAACAACTTGATCACTACATTCAAGTCGTGCCGGTCTATTTCGCACCTCATGCATGCGAACCTTGGACACGGACTTCGACATCATTTTGGGGATGCCTTGGCTTGCAAGTGCGGATCACACAATCAATTTAACCGGCTATGGCTGCTAAGAGCCCGCGGCACCAGCACTGCACAACACCAATGCAGACCACCAGCATACACCAGGTACGTTCTCTCTCCTCTCACATCACCCCTTGACTTCCCACAGTGTGCATCCCCAACACCCAAGGATCACCATCAACATCACCAGCCTCCACTGAGCAACCCCGGCTATGGCTGCTCGGCGCCCGCGGCACCAGCAGTGCACAACACCACAATGCGCCCGTATGCGCCTCTTCCTGTCCTTGGCCTGCCAGTGGCCTCCAGCGCTCAAACCAGCAGCGCTGCCGCCAGCAAGCCTACGGCTAGCATCCCCCCTGGCTGTCGTGCTCACTTTCAAGTGAGCTCTGCTTTGTCAAGCTCTGGGCCTGGCTGGACGAGTTTCCAGTAGCTTCCAGCCAGGCCCCAGTGTCTGCGCCCAGGCCCTCAGTTGCTGTTACGGGCTTGGGCCCTTCACGGTTGGGCATGCCCAGGCAGCCCATGAGGCTACAAGTGTTCGCCACAATCTCATTGGCAGCTGGCCAGTGTGTGACGAAGATGATGCGTTCTCATTGGCCCGCAGCCATTCTGTGATGTGTCACTCCCAGAGCCTCAACTGTAAGTGCCCTGGGCTCAACTGCCTCTCGAGCTGCTGCTTCCGGAAGAAGCCAGGGAAAGGCTCACGTTACCCTGCAACCAACTGGCGTGCTGCAACTGTCTGATACCCCACATGCAGAATTGACAAAAATAGGCCTCATAAATATTCTGGCCCTCCTTCACTTACGGCAGGCACAAATCTGTAGGGGGCCTCAGCCCAGATGTGGGGTGAGCCCTGGAAGAGCCACTGTGCAGATTCAGGCCTGCATATAGATTCCAACAGCCCTTTAGCATGATCACACTGGCCTGTGCCCAGGCCTTGGCACATATTAGCAGGCCCACCTTCACTTAGGGCGGGTGAGCCCTTTTCCAGCACTGTCGAGGGCTCAAATCCTCGGAAAGGAACAAAAAGGAAAGAAAGAAGAGAAAGAAAGGCAGAACGGGCAGGACAGAATAGCATGGGCCTATTGGTGCAGGTTTGTCCACATTGGTGTCAGCAGGCGTACCGTTCGCTGATTGACAACATCTTGAACCTCCTTCATCGCAACAGAGAACTCCATGACTGTCCAGGTAAGCATGTTGAAAAGGCGATTCAGAAAAGATGCAAAGAGCTTCTCATCAGACGTACATTTCTTCTGCAGAAGTCGCTGCAAATAAAAAACAGCCAGTCCAACCAAGGTGTCAAACAGGATTGAAGAGTGATACAAGGAATACAGGCCATCATTCTCAGCACTCCCTCAAGTGTGGTGTGCTGCGTGAAGGTCGCCATACTCTCATCAAGTCCGAAAGACAGGAAGCAATTACACCACCACTTTCTCAAGTGTGGTGTGCTGCATGAAAGTCACCATACTCTTGTCATTTCAACCAATGCAATTGCAGAAAAAATTCTGTACAATCAATCAATGATGACACACGGCAATACTATTAGGTTGCCTTAGCTGACCTGGAATAACGGTGAAGTACCACCACCATGCGATGACGGCGCATTTGACGCACCAAACCCCCCTCCCTTGCACAACCGTAGCAGAATGCTTGAGACAGGAATCCAGAACCTGTTGTCAAAAGCCTCCAAAAGGGCACCCACCATGCTCTCTCGAGCTGTGCGGCTAGCTTCAAATGCTGCCATATATTCCTGCAGTACATCACACACGATCCAGCAGAGCACCATCACACCAATTAAACTTTGCACATATTACATAACTGAACATGTGACCTTGAGCAATATGGGATGACCCCAAGATCTTTAGTCTTCATCATACATCAAGCATCTGATCTTCTCACATCGTTTCCTGTTTTCCTCCTCAAGAAATAGAGAAGATTCCATTACTTCATCCTTTCCAAATGACAGTCTCATGTGAGACCCGCTATCGGTGCTGGGAAAGGCCAAAGCCGGCCCGAAGTGTTCCTTTCGGGCACATTTTGGAGCGAGGCGCATTTTGGAAACGGCTGTGGCAAAGGGGCGGGCTCAAAGCATTCCTTTCAGCTGTGTTTCCGGACGGGGCGCCTTTCAGAGGGGAAGGAAAGGACAAGCGTGCTCGCCTTATGTGGCCGAGGCAAGGGTGCATCAAGAGATGCATTCCCAAAGGCGCGTTGGACGGACGAGGAAGACGGACGAGGAGGAGCGGTGCATTCCCAAAGGCGGGTTGGCAAGGACGGACAGGGAGAAGGAGGGAGCAGGAAGGAGGCGGGGGGAGGAGGGCGATAACAATGGAGGGAGGGAATCTTGGCGGAGAATGTAGTAGGGGGAGGAGCAAGGAGGGGGGAAAAGCAGGCAGTCACTATTGACAATTGCCAGGCACAACAGGAGGACGGACAAGGAAGACAGACGAGGAGGAGGGAGGAGGGAGATGTAGGGAGAAGGGCGACGACGATGGAAGGATGATGGAAGCGGAGGAGAAGGGAAGATGAGGGAGGAGGATGGCGAGGATGTAAGATCGAGGCAGAGGATGGGGAAGGAGTGAGGAGATGGAGGATTGGCAGAGGAGGAGGACGGAGTATGGAGGCAGGGCGATGGAGGAGGAGGCCGGAGGACACACACACACAACAAAGCACGGGGAGGCCACAATGGAGCATGAGAACGAGGAGGACAACGGTACGAGGCAGGAATGTATTTTTTCATTTTTCTTTCTGAGTGTTTTCTTCCTCCCTTTTAAAACATGCCATCAAACATATTTAAAAAAAAACAAGATGGCCGAAAAGGAAAAGGAAAAGAGAAAAAAAATGCCATGCATCACTCAATTAATCAACGACAGGGTGGAGGAGGAGCCTATGATGGAGGAGGGTGAGGCGACGCCCACAATGGAGGACGCGGGGAACGCCATGATCGGGGACAAACAAACACAAGGGTGACAACGATGAGGACCACGAGCAAATCGATGGAGGAGAAAGAGGACAGTCGAGGATTGAGGAGGAGGAGAGAGGACAGCGGCGACAACGCAGGGCAAAGAACGAAAGATGGAATACAGCAGGAGGACATACACAAACACACACACATGAGGGTGATGCACAAAGGCGATAAATGGAGGGAGGATAGAGGGAGGAGAATAAGGGAGGATGGGCGGAGGAGGATGGAGGATGGAGGAGGAGGACAGAGGATGCACACACACACACATGCGATGGTGAAGAGGATCGAGCAGAGCAAGGAGGAGATATTTTTTCCCGAAACTGTTTTTATTCTATATTTCAGGGTTGCACCCCCCGATGGTCGGCGGCCCTTGACTGGTCGGCTGCCGAACCGCCGACCGATCGGCTGGTCGGCACCTACCGGTCGAGGGGTGGTCGGCACCCCACAAAATATACATATATATTGGGGGGGGTCCAGAACCCTAATAACACCACCAACACCCCCATAGCGGCCCCGTTTACCCCCATAC